AAAAAAAAATCCTCACAACTGGACCAATAAGCAACATCATGATAAACGGAAAAAATACTGAAGTTGCCAAGGATATCATTCTACTTGGATCCACAATCAATGCCCATGGCAGCAGAGGTCAAGAAATCAAATGGCATATTGCATTGGGCAAATCTGATGCAAAAGACCTCTTTAAGGAGTTAAAAAGTAAAGATATCACTTTGAGAACTGAGCTGCTCCTGACCCAAGCCATGGTATTTTCAATCACCTCATATGCATGAGTAAGCTGGATAATGAACAAGGAAGAAGGAACAAGAATTGATGCCTTTGAATTACAGTGTTGGCAAAGAATATTAAATATACTAAGGACTGCCAGAGGAACAAACAAATCTGTCTTGGAAGAAGTACAACCAAATGCTCCTCAGAAGGGAGGATGGCGAGACTTTGTCTTACGTACTTTGGACGTGTTATCGGGAGGAACCAGTCCCTGGAGAAGGATATCATGTCTGGTAAGGTACAGGATCAGCAAAAAAGAGTAAGACCCTCAATAAGATGTATTGACACAGTGGCTGCAACTACGGGCTCAAACATAGCAGTGACTGTGAGGATGGGGCAGGATTAGGCAGTGTTTCATTCTGTTGTACGTGGGGTCACTATGAGTCAGAACCGACTGGATGGCACCTAACAACAATAGATTTCAAATTGCACAAGATTTTTTAACTTCTGTCTTAGGTGCAGGAATGCTAATAAAACTGACATTGACAATAAGCTAAGAGGTATATCAACCACAAGAGAATCTAATTGAAATCTTTAAGTAAACAGATGGGCCCATGTGACTAGATGAAATTTACCAGAGATAATGGTATTATTACGTTAAAAAAACTTTTGGTTTACAAGTAGAAAATGAAAGAGACTTGACCTAATAGTAGTCCCTGTTGAAAAAAAAAAAAAAGAAAACATGAAGTTTTAAAATACTTTATACCTCAAGTGCTTTCCGAGAAAAGGAAGTGAAAGCTAAATACAGGCACTAAGTGTGATGTTTCTAATATTACTTCATTTGGTTCTCCCAACAATGTTGTCAGGGAGATATAAACATTTACCTTTGAAGGTAAAGAAAATGAGGAATAAATTCTTCAAGTGTCTTTCCCAAAGCCACACAGTAATTACAGACTTTAGGAACAATGATCAATTGATGATTCTGAGCATTCTTCATGTTCTGAAGAAAAATGTTAATAGCTCACCAATTAAGAACACATTATTTACCTGCTCTGCATATCCCCGAACCACCTGCCTCTGCTTTAAATTGCTCTCTCCATCAAGACCAGAAGTCTCAATGTGGCAGATTCCATCTGGATCAGTGGAAAAGAGTAAGACCATATCTGCAGGAATGACCTCATTACAGGAGAGGCGAATAAAGTCCCCAACAGTAACATCCTTCCAGCATCGGTCAATGTATTTTTTCTCTTTCCTAAATTGACAAAAAAAGAAAATCAAACTTAAAACACTTATAATAGTTTTTTAAAAAATCACATGGCATAACATAAGCTACATCTGAAGTATTAGGGTAAATTTTAGTTCATTTAAACACTAAAAGGGAAGACAGAGAATTGGTAAAACCTAATTCCACCATTTGCTTCACCTGAAAATTTAGTTACTAAGCCACTAAAACATATTTTACAGTTCTTTTGTTCCTGTGGGATCTTGAATCATTATGCTGTTTAAATGTAATTTGGGAATAAAATTAAAATTAACATTTGATGCGTTTACCCATATAGGAAGTAGTTCCTGTCTGCTGTTCCCTGTCAGGGACCAGGGATCTGGATGTGCACAAGCACATTACCTGCTCTCAGGGAGCTTCCTGGCTGGCAGATAGGATGGATAATTAAAGAAAACACATGAGCAATGAAATTAAAATACCCAGAAGCAACATTTAAAAAATCATTACACCACATTGTTTTTGCTGGTTGCTGTTGAGTCGCTTCTGACTCATGGCGACCCCATGTGTGCAGAGCAGAACT